ATATAATATATATATATATATATATATATATATATATATATATATATGAATATTTAAATCATCATCTAAATATCACAGACTTTTATATTAGCAATAGATATAAAATAATATTAATGTAGGTTGAAGGAATTCGAGATTTAATTCAACTTATTGCTGAAAATACTGCTATTGTAAGGGATTTGCATAATAATGTTTTGTCATATACCAATAAAGGTAAGATCAAAATACCAAATGTTGTGCTTATCTGATGATTAATAATTTACATATTTTAGATATACAAAAAGAATTGGAAAATCGAATGTATACTATTTCACAAACATCATTTTGCATTCAACAAAAATTAAGAGGTAGGTATATTCTTTCTTATATTTCTATATCTGCAATATAAATAAAATAAAAACGAAAATAACTTGTTTTACGTATTCTAATCAGACTCACTATCATCTTGAATTTGAAAAATATTTCTTTTTTTCATTTTATGATCAATATTAGTTAATACATTTTCATTCTGAAAAAAACTAGAAAGTCTTCTAATTTTTTGAGGCATGATTATCTGTATCAAAATCAGAATGTTTAAATGATTTGGGTGTGCTTGTACTAGGACCAGGTTGAGAAGGTGAATATAAAATTGGATTTGAACATATTGGAGAATTATAACCATTTGAAATACTAATTGGTGAAAAAGAATTTACCGATGTACTTCTAGAATTTAACAATTCAGAAAGTGAAAGACGTTGCAATACAACTTTAGGATATAAATTACTTCTTATTAAATTTAAATTCTTGTTAGACACATTCTGATTATTTATTTCTGATGGAGAAATCTCTTCTTCAGTAAAATTGTCATCATCAAATCTAACATCTTCTACTTGTCTGAAATATATTATTTAATGAATAATAATAATATATACATTATTAAACAAATTTGTACATACTTTTTAAATTGTTCCACTTCTTTTTCCAACTTAGGATATTCACTTAATATATTTGCTAGTTGTTCTTTGTTATATTCAGAATATGTTTTAATTAAAATCTTTTTTACATCATTTTCTAATGGTGATTTTAGAATAGACAATTTCAGTCTAAGCTTTATTAAGATAGGTAATAGAACTTCTAAGCCATGTTTTTTTATTCCTTCAATAATAATGCTAATTGCATTAGAAGTTGAAGTAATTGTTTGAACTGTATATTCTTCATTTTCACCTTGATCATCATCATTTTGTTTGTTAAATGATGATGGACGTAAATGATTGTTGCTAATTATATACAATGCATCTTTTAAAACACATGCTCCTTCTTCTTTTTTAATGTCAATTAAATCAACACAAGTTCCACCAAGTATTTGACTAGTTACTTTTACAAGTAATTTTATCTTTCCAGGAGGATCTAAATGATCCAACATAAAATCATAAATTGCTTTTCGTTTTTTTTCATTTTTTCTTCCAGGAAGTGTTAAAACTTTTTTTTCTTTTTCACAAAGTTTAAGATGATAAACTTTATGCTGAGATTGATAATTATTATAATGATATATACTTTGTAAAAATTGTTGTGATATTAAAGATTTATTTTTTGTTAAAAGACGTTCTTCTATAAGAAAAATGGTTAATTCACGTATCATTTCATCAGAATCTGATAACATTGTTAATATATGAAAAAAAAAGGACCCTTAATTTTTATATAATCTTCCAAAAGTAATTGAATGAATATTACCATGATAGCTTCACGTACTTGTGGATTTGAATCCTTCATACTTACACACATATCTGGTAAATATGGTTCAACTAAAGCAGTGAATCTAATACAAATATCAGCTAAAGCTTTTGCAGCATTTATTCTCACAGGAATTTGGACAAGTGAATTTAAATTTGTTTCTTGTCTCATTAATTTACCAAATATTGGGACTACTTCCTTTGCAATTTCACGATCTCTCATTGATTGTTGCCCTAGAATAATAACTGCTGAAGCTTGCAATTGTTTTATTTTTTTTATTATTTCTGGTAATATATCCCATTCTAGTAATATTCCTTGCAAAATTCGTAATGTCAATGGTGAAATTTTGCAGCTACATAAAATTGCTGCATGTCCTAATGTAAACATAGCTTTTAAATAATTAGGTGCTGCCTCAATAGCTTGACTTTCACTTTCAAAAATTTTTGCAATTTCTATTTCTGAAAGTTTTATGAGATTCAGCATATTTGTTTTTAGCAAATTATTATTTTTGTCAGGATTTAAATAGTGAATTATATTATGTATAATGTCTAAACAAATGCTAATTAATCCAAAATTAATTTTAAATTGTTGTAAGCGTTCGTATAAATAAATGTGAAGATGTTTTAAAATTTCACAGTTTAATGATTTCCAAGAATATCTTAAAGCTTGTAGAACTAAACTTGTGCAAAAATTATTTTCTGCAAAAATTTCTTGATAATTTGAAAAATATTTGTTCATATTTGGTAAATTAGTATTTTCAGCCAATGCAACTAAGAAGACCCAAGCTTCTATGTTATTATTTGTTCCAATATGAGATTGTATATTGTTTATTATAGAATTGGTAACAACACCATTCTTAATCCATAGATTACAAGCTTTTGATAAATGTTTTCTCATTTTCATTTTAATTATAGTATTTAAAATTTTCCATGGCAAATTATTAACTATGTTATCAATACTTATAGAAGTATTTTGTATTTTATTTAATAATAGATTTTGTAAATATTCTAGTACTTTTTCTTGTACCTTAATTTCAATGTCAAATATCTGTGGCATAACAGTTCGTACCCATTCATTTAAAAGTTGAGAATTATCTGGAAATTCTTGTAAAAGTTGAGATAAAACTTGTACAGCAAATCGTCGTACTATTAACACTGGATCTCTACATCTAAGACTTATTACAGATAAAACTTCATGTATCAAAGATGGAAACATTAAAATTAAATTTCTCAGAATTTGCAATGAGCTTCGTCGTACCATTGCTCTTTCATCTTCTAATCTTTCTATGAACATAATTATTAAGATATTTGAACTTGGTAATAAATTAATATCCTTAAATAGAGAATCTTTTATGTCGTGAAATGAAAGTAATTGTTTATTTGTATTAGATTTTTTAAATATAGTTTGAAATATTTCTTTATCTATTTCATTATCAGATTCTGTAAATTCAGCAATTATTGCCATAGCTTTTGCTCTTACCATACATGAACAATCCATACATCTATTCAATATAATTGCAAAGAATATTTTTCTTATTTTGATTTTTAAGCTATCAATTATATTACAATTTATTGAAAAAGGTTCAAGTAACAATTTCCCAATTATTTCTTGTGCAAATAATCTAAAAGGTATTTTTGAATGATGTGATAATAGTATTAAATCCTTAAAAACTTCTAATGCAATATTCTGTTTACATATTCCAAAAAGTTTTACTAACACATTAGCTTGTCTTTGTCTAGCTTCAAGTCGATCTGGACATGTTAACATTACATGTTGTATTAATGTTAAAATTGCAGTTTTAGCTTCTTCTTCAAATTCGTGTAATAAATTTTTAAAAATTTATGGTATGTTCACGTACATTTGTAATAAATTTTATTTGTGCATCCATATGACTACATAATAAACGTGGTAATATATATTTTGCTATAAATGTTATAGTTATTTCAATAGGTCCATGTTTATTATTACATAATTCTTTTAATGCCATATAAGCATTTTGTGGCAATGAAACATTCAAAGTACCTACTTGTTTATCAAAACATTGGATGACTGTATAATCATCTTCTATCTTTGTAATTTCAACTAATCCATGAATAGTAATATCTAATGATTGCATATGATCTTTAAACCAAAATGATTTTATCATTACAATAAAGCTGCAAATAATAATATTTAAATTTTTTATAAGAATTTCTTTTTCATGAGGTGAAAGAATATTGATTTCATTTACTAATTCATCAGTAGCATTTAAATCATTTAGATATATTTTTTTATTACGTTTCTTAATAGAAGGTTGTAATTGTTCTGAACACATTTTAAGTGTCTCTATAGCTTGTTGATACAAATTAGAATGAAATATATTAAATGCACTACTACCAGGAATGGTTAGAAGCACAAAATATAAATTAGTTGCATATAGACATGATTGTCTTATTTCTTCATTGGTTTCTTTGTTTTGACCAGTTTTTATTATATAACCCAATACAGCTAATAAAGCATGCACTTTTATATTCATAGTAATTAATGTGTTCCACGATATTTCAGAACAATAATTTTCAGAATTATTCTGATTTTTACCTTCTTCTAGCCAAGTTTGTATTATAATACAAGATTCATGTAAAAGTAATCTCATGTCTTCACTCTCTAAAAACATGAGGTACTCATCAGGTGGTTCATTGTAAATCATAAATTCTCCATTCCACACAGATTGAATCCAGTCTTCATTTAAATCACTAAATTTAAAATTATCGAATATTTTTAAAGATTCCATGGTAACAATTGTATTAAGTTTAAATTATTTTAAACGAAACTACAATTATTATCACATTTCCTTAGCTTACAAATATAAACATAACCTTAACTTATCACTTGATAAAGAAAAATTACAGCCTCAGGTTATCATTTTTTGAATACGTATCGATAACGATTTTAATGTTTCATTACGATATAAACCAACAAAAAACTTTATTGACAGTTTATCATAAAACATCTCGTAAGAGCTGTAAAAAATTGTATAAAAGATTTTGGCGTCCATTCGAAAGCGGGAAACTGACTGACCAATTGCATTCATTGAGAAATGCAACGTAAAATATTACACTTCCAAACAAAAATATCAGACTCTAATGTTATAAGAATCTATTGATATTGATATTATATGCTTGAGAATATTGTCATGAATTTTTTCAAGCTATCTTTGGATTTTTTACTGAAAAAATCATCCTATATTAAGTTATGATATACAAAATGTAATTTATAAGAAATTAAAATAAATATAATATATAAAAATTAATTAATTATGATAAAAATTAAATAATAGTATATATTTAGTTCTATTTTATTTTGATTTTTATAAATTATTCAAATATTTTAATTTTATAGAAATGAGTAAAGAAGTTGTCCCCATTGATGATTTAACCATAACTAGTGCAAGAGAAGGACCAATACACATACGAGTTAAAGTATTACAATATACAACAATGTTAAAATTATTTTCTCAAATTATGGAAGAATATAACAATTCTATGTTGAGATATAATGAAAAATGTCGTTTACTTTTATATCAACAAAAATTGTTAAGTACGTTTTTTCTAAAAATTGAAAAATATATATTTAATTACTTTCATATTATTTTTACTCATTTTCTAGTCAGAAAACACATTACAAGTGAAGAGTTGGAAAAGTTACTTGATATTCAAGAAAATAATATATTTGTTGATAATGTAAGAATCAAAAATTTATCCCTTTATAATATTAATTTTTCTAAAATTAAAATAAATTTTATATAAATAGATTTTAGAAGATAGTAAAATTGCAAAGCAACAATTATCTGATATTCAAAATAGACATAATGAAATAATAAAAATAGAAAAATCTCTTGCAGAAGTTAGAGATATGTTTACAGAAATGGCATTTCTTATTGAAAAACAAGTAAGTGTAAATAATAAAAAAATATTATATAATTATAAAAACGAATCTTAAATATAGGTATATAATAATTTTTATTTTATTTATAGGGAGAACAAATAAACAGTGTGGAATATTTTGCTGGAAAAACAGCAGATAATATTGATTCTGGTCGTACTGATCTTAAAAAAGCAGAAAAAAAGAATCAAAGATATAGAAAGGTATATAGCAATATTTGTAGCAATAATACTGTATCATTTAATAAACAATTATCTTTTTTTTAGAGAAAAATTAAACTTGGTATAATAATTAGTATAATAATAATAATTATTTTCTTGATAATCATAATTTTTTTATAGAAAAAGAAACAAAACTTTAATTTTAAATTTTAAAAGAGAGACAATAAAAAATTTAACATTTAAAATATTTATTATCTAAATAATAAAAAATAAAAACTTAGATAAAAAAATTATTATATATAATTAATGTTTATCATGTCAAATTAAAAATTATAAAACTTCTTATATAAAAAGTATTAAAAATAGAAATGTATTACTTTTTACTGTTAAATACATAATTTTCAAAGTAATTAACAAGACCTTTTGCACTAGGCCTAACTTTATAATCTGTAGTAGTGCATGCAAAAAATACTTCAAGTACTTTTTCATATTCTTTTCCTAGATTAATAGCAGGTAATGAAGGACGAGTACCTGTGATTATTAAGGTATTATATCTAATATACTAATTTTTAAAAATTACTTCATTTATTATTATTCAAACACTTACCATATTTTGTATTGACTATTTTATTAAGAAAACTATTGCTGTCATCCATATTGGTATCACATTCATTTGTTATATTGTTTTTCATTTTCATTTCTAACATTGAATCATCTAGATAAGAATCTTCCATTTCTGAGGATTCTATATGAGGTGCTGATAAAGCTATCATCTCCCAAACTACAAGACCACATGCCCAAATGTCTGCTTTATTTGTAACAGGACCATCTTCTAAAATATCAAAGTTGCAATTAATTATATTATAAACTTTATATAATAATATTATGATAGATATAAGATATTAATCAACCAAATATTATTTCTGGAGCACTCCAACATTCGGTTCCTATATAGTTGAAATTTCCATTTGAAGTATCTACTTCTAAAGTTTCTGTGAGTGGTAAAGATACTCCAAAATCACATAGTTTAACTATTTTATAATCTGAAGAAATTAATATATTATAACTTTTTATATCACCATGTAAAATATAAGCAATATGATGTAAATATTCTAATCCTTTTGTAATTTCATACATTATTTTTAAAATATCATTAGCAGGAAATGGATCATCATCAATATCAAGTTTTTGTTCTATTCTGTCACCTGATAAAATTATATTAACATAAGAATTGATAAATTTTTTTATGCAATTTATTGTAATTATTTATTACTAGATATTTTTCTTACCTAAAGAAGCATCCAATTTTTCCATTGCCAAATATGGTTCACCATTTGGAAGTTTACTAAAAGCTCGAAAACCAATAATATTTGGATGATTTAATTTACGAAGTATTTTCGCTTCAAATTGAATACGTTCATTATATTTTTTATCTTCTACAATTTTGGAGTTACGTTTTTTTATCGCCCATGGTGAACGAATAAAACCAACTTTTGGTGATCGTTCCAAACTAAATACAGTAACTCCTATTAACATATATTAAAACAATATTAATACTCAATAATAATAATTTTAAATATTTATATGTTTCTTTACCACATCCATAACCTATTTGTTGTAAAAACGGTGAGGCTGGTATTTTAATAGGTGTTTGCAATTCTGGATTATCTTCTATTCTAGTCTTACATCTTTTTATTGTTGGTGTTTTAAATTCAGCCATATTATTAATGTTATATAAGAAAATTATTTAAGTTCAACAAAATTTGTTTTTTCTAATTTGTCCGTTGAGTTTTAAATTTTCTTGACACTGACGTTTAAATAATACCAACTTTATATACATTAAAATATTAAAATAGAAAGAAAAATAGTGATATACATCAAGTTATTTTTCATAATTGGATTCTATTTTTTAATATTTTTTATATTATTTTTGATATTTACGAATTATTTAAAAAAACAGTAATTCAAGATCATTTATAATATTTCATATTTATATATTAAATTATTGTCATTGGTAACCATGAAAGAAACATCTTAAACAAAGGTAACAAGTATTTATTTATTTTAAATATATAATTAGATATAATTACAAAAAAATAACAAAAAAAATACAATTAACATTTTAAGATATCATGAATAATAATAATCATATTATATATATTTTTTTATATATTAAAAAATAATATACTACATGTCAACCATGAGTATTATATATTTTATGAATTTGTATTCTATGAGAAATCACATATTATATTGATATAAAAAGTACATGTATATATAAAAATAACAAAATAGTTTAGATGTTATAAGCAGAATACTAATATTATAAATTATTATGTATTTTTCTAAAAAAGCAATAAATATTATGTAAAAATAACTAAATATTGAATTATATTTTTTTAGTGTTTATCTGTCTCCTTACGATTCAATGAAATTATTACGGAATATATATCCAACAAAAAAAAATAGAAAATTCATTATATAATTCATTATTTGTTTATGTCATTATTTACTGAAAATTATAGTGAGATAGTAAAATTAAATTCTGTCTTGTTTTGTCATGTACACGCATTATATATGTTTCGATAACAGTTGTTTAATACATGTGCCAAATATAAATCATATTTACAAGAATATAAAAATTTTATGCAGAAATATAATTATTTTGAAATAACTTTATAGACAACTTTATGGACGATATTTATTAGTAAACTATAGAAAGAAACACACAATTGTTAAATAAAATCGATAATGTATTAATTGATTTTAAATAATATAATTAATTTTATTAAATTACAAAGAAGAAAGCAGAAGTACAGAGTGTCATTCCAGCATTGGATTAATATTTAATTAAAGTTATTTCTATATGGAAAGAATAATAAATATAATATGCATGTTATTTCTTTTTAATAAATTTTATTTTTAATGCTTATATAAAATTAAAATTCTATAATAAATATAAAATACTCTTTTAACACAGTTATATCTAAATTTAGTAAATATATTATATGTTTATTAAAATGTATAAATAATACAATTTTTTTTTAGTCTTATATATTTTGGCATTCTTGTTACATTGTTTAAATTTTTTTTCAATTTGCCATTATTAATAAAATTTAAAACTAAAAATTACAACTTATATAAGAAATACTACATTTTTGAATATGATAAAAAATTCAATGATAATAAACAAATTTTATAAATAATTCATTGTAATTCTTTTGCTCTGTTACAATAATTGTTATTAAATTTCTTTCAAGTCTCACTATTATTAAATCTGAATGTTTTTTTTAAAAACTGAAAAAATTAAAAATAATAAATTAAGAATAATATTTGCTATTAACAAATAATTAAAATCAAAAATGTAAACGACAAAGAATGTAAAATCACATGTATTTATAATTATAAAAATAGTTTATAAAAATATTGGTCAAAATATATTTATTAATAATTTCTTTTTTCTGTTGCAGTAATTGCTTCAAAATTTCTTTTAATAATAAATCATACTTTTCTTGTCAAGTATGATTTACAGCAATTCATTTGAATTTAATGTTATTGCGCCATGTTGTAAATATCAAATATCAGTAATGGCAATAACAACGCATGCGCATCAATTCAGTCGCATCTCATAGTAGCAAAAAAGTGAAAAGCATTTTATTCCATCGGATTTACAGATAAATCTTCGAGTATTAATAAAATTGAATAAAACAACAAAATTAGTAATTGAACAGAATTGATAACTGAAACTTATTTATGAAAAAAATTTAATTTTAAAAAAATTTGCATTTCAAATATATACACTGATTGAAATATTTTTAAGTGTTCTTAATGGAACGAAACAAAAAATTGAATTAAATCATATTTTTAGAATGAAGTTCAGTAATGTAACGTACTTTTTCTGTAATAAATATTCTCTTTAAAGTACTTTCAAAATTTTTCGAAATATATATATACATTCGAGAATAGAATAAAGTATCGAGAATAAAGAACTTCAATCTTAATAATATCAAGAATTTTTCGATACATATAAATATTTATATATGTATACATATGTAATTTTTCAATATATATGTATGTACATATCTTTTTATTTAATTTTTTGAAGTTAGTATTCTTAATTACTATATTATATTTAAAAATAAAGACTATAACTGAAAAAAATATATTTTTATCAAAAAATTTTCTATGAATAAATTGTTTTTGATACTTTAAAATATTAATAGCAAAATGATTTATAAGTTATAATGAGGAATTTTTTCTTTTATATAGTTATATAGGAATTTTTTCTTTTATTAATTTTTCTCAATCAATGAAATCAATTTATTTTGCATTTTAATTCTAGAAGTATTTTTATATAAATCCTATTTTTCTTTTCAATATCTTTCGAATATTTTGATTTTTAATTAAAAATATTTCTAAGTTTTAAAATTAAAAATATCTCTATTAAATTAACAATCTTTCTTCAATTTGATCTTATCTTATTCATAAATTTTTAGATATAAATTATAGAAAGAACTAAAAAATTTCTAATAACTTTTATTCATTATTAGATTTTGAAAATATATAATTTTAAACAATACATTTTATATTCTTAAGATATCTTCCGGGTATGATAAAAATTAGTATCCATATATAATACTTTATCAAGTTTAATTCCATGGTTTTGCATTTTCGTTAGTCGCACGAATAGATACTCTATCGACTGTAAGGAATGCTTCTAATGGTGCTTTCTGCTTGAAATAATTGCTCATTTTTTTAGAAATACTTTGAAATATCGATAAAAATTTAAAACTCATAATAAAATGATAATTTTTATCTAAGATTGTGTTTAAAAAATATAAATTTTTCTTTTTTTATTATTTAATTATTGATTTTTATATGTCATTTTAAACTTTCATGTGTCACTTATATGAGATTTCTTATTTTATGTACTATATTAATTTTTCAATCGAATATATTTTTCAATTTGTTGAGGAATTCTTTTATGAAACAATACTTGAAAATCCATCATAGTATACAAATTTTATCAAAATTATTGAGTATATTATATTAAAAATTTATTTTTATAAGATAACATTCGAATTTGAATGCTTAAGAATTATTTAAATATTTGAAAAAAAAAACAGAAAAAAATTATCCGCTATCAGAATCTTCAGTATAATGATAGAAAATGTGTAATATGTTAAATAAAAATAATCGATTAATTTTGAGTTTTGCAGCTAAAAATAAATTTGTGTGATACTGAGTTTTATATATTATCAAAAATCTATATTGTATAAACTTCAAGCATGAGAACATTGTATGAAATTCATTCATAGTAAAATTTTGTTTGAAAATTAAAAGAAATAGAAGATAAATTTTATTTAAAATTTGTTTTCATTTAACATTAATATAAAACTTATTTAGTAAATTGATAGAATTCTATTTTAGCTAAGTATTTTTATTTTTAGAAAATAGAATAAAGTAAAGATAATATTAAAATATCTTTAAAATTTTAATTATTATTATATTATAATGTTATAATCTCTTGAATAATTTTTTAATTAATTATTTATATTATCGATATGATGTATTTTATTATTTTAATTTAATAGATTTATAATTAAAAATATATATATAATTTAATAAATTTAATAGAAATAAAATTATTGAATGAGAAGTATATTTTTATCGCATCTTTAATCAAATTAATTCATAGAAAGACACTGAAATATAATTATAATATACAAGTAAATATACTTTGATTACAATAATAAGTCAACCTTTGCAAGAGCATGCGCAATATTGACTTTTTATAGAAAATATAGTAGCAAATTTATTAGGGATGAATCTCGTAGAACTTGTGTATCCGTTGCGTTTTACTCAAGTGTTCATTAATAAAACTAATATAATTACATGTATGTATATAAGTGAGATAAAAAAGTCCTTAATATATAATAGATATTAGTAAATTTTAATTTACTATATACACAATATAATTTTTAAATTGTGCTTTTTACTAATTTTATTAAAATATCTATTATGTTAACGGGAATACTTAAAGGGTATGTTATAAAAGACAATAGACTTATTTTATAAATAAATATAATAATAATGATAAAATATTGAAAATTTTCATAAATTTAAAATATTTATCAATTTTTTAAAATTTATATTTTATTCAAATTCATATTTTCAATATAGTATATTATTTTGCTATATATTATAAATATACTATATTATTTTTTAAATACATTTATATATTATATTTTATTTATATATTATATTATATTTTATAGAACACTTTTATGTTGTGACAATGAAAATTTTACCTGGAATAATGTAATTAACATAAACAGACATGTTTTTAATGAGACTACGTCTTTATTATATGTCGTTTATAGAATAATAATCCCTGCAATTATAATTAGCGGCATTTTTGGTAACATTTTAATATTTCTGGTGTTATCCACTCCGATGTTTCGAGGAATTGCATACTTATATCTCCGAGGATTAACATCAGCACACATCGGCGTTCTTTTATCTTGGATACCTATATGTATGTATCATGATAGAAATATTAAAAAATATGTAAAATATAAAAAAATTCTAAATTAATTCCAATAAAAGTATATGATTTCAGTTATTAGATTAGGATTCGGAATGAAAAATAATTACCCATCTGCTTTTTATCATGCTCATTTGGAACTGGTTGCTGTAAACACCTTTGCTATAGCCAGCATTTTAATTATGACCAGCGTAATCGTCGATCGATATATCTTTATTTTTTTCCCGACTCGTATTCGTAGCAGGAATGCACGCAAGAATATTCATTCTTTCATTCTATGTTCTTTCATTCTTGGATTTGCGGTATTAAAATAATATTTTTATTTTTCTTGGAAAAAATAATCATTGTATATATCAAAAATCCAATTTTATTTAAAATCATTTTATAGGTAAGCGCTCCCTTAACAGGAATGAGAACAGTATATGAGCAACAAGAGGATATTGGGACAGTTTTTACATTACGTGAAAATATATCCATTACACGAAGTGTTTTGTGGAATGTATATATTTGGATGATGGAAATTATATTACGATTTTTTCCAACTATAATTCTTTTTTTGTTAAACAGTTTTGTAATCAAGAGATTTTTACAACTTAATGCTAAAAAAAGAGAATTTCAATCAGTTTCGGAAAAATTTCGCAATCCAAATATTCCTGAAACCTCTTTATTAACTCGCAATCGAGGATACAGGTAGTGTAAAAATTAGGACAAAAATAAAAAAAAAATGTAGAGATTTTCATAAAGACTATTTTGAAATATCATGCAAAATTTTTTTTTTATTTAAAAAAAAATTCTACTAAAATGTGTAATATTTATAGAATACTTATATTTTTTTTTAGAGAAGAACAACATTTAGCAACATTAATGGCAATAATGGCAATATGTTTTATAATAACAATGATTCCTTCAATATTGCTTGAATTTTTACATCATGATTACGAAAATATAAATGATGATTGCCTTTTATTTCGATCATTTGCTGCTGTTACAGAACTTTGTAATTTTGCTGTCCATATTATCATATATTTTTCATGTAGTAAAGAATTTCGAAAAGAATTTCTCAAAATTATTCAGGTAGATAAAAGTTTTAAAATGTATACTTATAATTAATACTTATAATTAAACGAAGATATTTTAAATCGAATTTTCTAATTCTAAAAATTTAAAATAAAGAATAGATGCAGAAAAAGTGTTATAGAAGAAGATTTTGATCGACCAATAGGGGAAATTGAAGATTATAGTCGGCATGGTACAACAGTTCGATTAACACCTGAACAAACAAAATTAAATTCTCCAGTTTCTATGAATAAATTGAATCCAATGGAAGAAGATAAAGAGTCAGAAATATTAAATGCCGCTGATGTCGTCTAAGAATTATATTATTATATTTTTATTTATTTTTATATATTTATATATATTTTATATATATACTACATAATGTATTCATTTATTTAAATTATAATATATATTATAATGAAAAATATATGATAAACATAATGAAATATTTTATTTTGCAAAAATCATTATATAATAAAAATTATATTTCATGAAAATATGGAAACTAATATTTATCTCAAAAATATTAATTAATTTTAATTATTAAAAATAAAGATTATATTTTTTTATTCTTATTGGATAATAGTATCCTACAAAAAATATAGATCTATTTTTGTACTTTAAGTATTAGGGATTTTAGAGTTTCTCAAAGTTTAATAGTATAAAAAAAAATAAATTTTAATTAATTAAATATAATAAAAGTTAAATATAATTTCTATAATTATGTCTAATATAAATTGCAAAGAATATAAGAAACAATCTTATTTTATTTTTAAGATCAGTTTTTTCAAAATATTTTAGAATATATGAAATCATGAGAAATCATGAAATCATAAATGTCACGTCTATTCTGTATTTTATCTGTGCTTGTATACTATTTATATGTATAAGTACATAAATATTATGTCTATGGTATGATAGCAGTAAAATATTTGTGATGCAATTATTTAAATATATTTGTATCAAATTTACCAATCATTACGATAATGATACTAGATGGCACTAGTAATCACGAACATACAAATTATCAAAAAATAATACATAACCTAAACTGTCAAATTATACATAGATTACGTCGAATAATATTATAAGTATTTTTTACACAAAGTTTTAACTCAATAGTTTTTTTCTTCGATGTAGTTCATTGTGTAAATAGTTAGGTATGCTTAAACATGTATAAGCATTTATATCATAAAATATAATTTAATATAATTTATATTTTTTCATATAAAATTCTAATATTTATAAAATTGATTAAATAATTATTATATTTTTGTTTTTTTTACAGTTAGTCCTTAATTATGTGTGAATTACCACCAGAATTAATTATTAAACCATTAGCTCTTATTGGCTTAAGTGGTTTAGATATTGCTAATCCTATACATCGGTCAATTTGGGATGCATTCAGTAATAATCGAAGATTAGAAAGTTCTGCCATACAATTTAAATTACTTACTCCTACTCATGAATTTCCTACAGTAAAACCTAAGGTTTTTTATTGTAATCATAAAATATAACTTGTGTATATTATTATTGAATTATTAAATTATTATTGATATATTTTAGAGAAATTCATATGAATATTATAAACCCAAAGGAATATTAAAACGTAATTGGATGAATAAATATCTTAATGAAATTCCAGCTGTAGTTGTTGTATTTTATAATTTAGATTGGAATGATCCACAATGGAATGAGAAAAAAATGGAATGTGCTTCTAAAGTACAATCTCTTAGGTATTTCTTATATCATATATTATTATTATAAATATTATTTATTAAAAAATGTAACTAATGTTTTTAATTATTTATTCATTTAGAAATGCTTTGGATGGAAGAACTACAAAAATAGCTGTAGTACTTATACAGCAATGTACACAACCTCCACCAGGTTCTGAAAATGCTATTGCAACTGAACGTGCTACAGCTGTATGTGGAGCATGTGAACTATCTCCAAAGTTATTATATATTTTGCCACATGGAAATCATTTATTAGGATACATATCTAGGTATATTAATAAATTGTAAATTCTTGATTATATTATGATTATATTTATATATATTATAGATTGGAAAGTGCTTTATATGATCTAGCACAAAACTTTTATCATCATGAATATCGTATTGTCAAAGGACATAGAGATCAACTTAATAAAACTGTGCAAAAAAATACATATAAACATTTATTTGTACGCCATCAATTTAAAATGGCATTTTTAAATGAATTAAAACAAGATCAAAATTTAGCTCAGAAGTAAGTATAATAAAATTAAAAAAAATTTGAGCACAAATAAAATATATAAAATTTATTTTATAGGCATTATACTCAAGCATATAATCACTTATTAGAAATACAAATAACAGACACAAATGTAATGGAAATTACAACTATTGCTTCTTTTATAAATTACAAATTATGTAAAATAATGTTCAACTTAAATGTTCCTAAAGATGCTATATCACAATTTAGACTTCATACTGACAGGTCAGAAATATTCATAATAAGTTTATTAAAATAAGTATGTAATAATTATAATATTAAAATTATTTACAATAACATTAAATTGGTAGTGCAGATTCAAATTATGGACTGGTCCAAAGGAACTTATATTTGAACATCATGCTTGGATGTGTAGTCAATTTTCCACATTTGCAGAATTATTTGATGATGCTATTCGACAAGGACTTCCTGCTGTTCAAACTCAGCATCCTGGATATTATTTTCAATCAGCAGCTCATCATGCAGGTTTAAGACAAGCAGCTTGTAAAGAACTTTGTCAGGTATACATAGATTGGAATATTTAATAAATAATATTTTTATACAAAATTTTTATTATAAATGTATGTAATTTTAGAATGTAAATAGCTATCCAGAGCCTGATCCATTAGCAGGAGAAGAAAAACTTGAATTCTATGGACAGCGACCATGGCGTCCTGGAAAATTAAGTGCAGAACCTGCAGATTCTATGAAAGAAGTATTTGCTATACAGGCTTTACAGTATAAAGAAAAATATACAGTTAATCATTCAGTAAGGATAAGTTTACTTAAGATTTTTTTATTTAAAAATTTTCACTCATTTTTATCAATTTCATATAAAAAATTACTATAAAATTACTATATTTTCTGATATATAATTATTATACTATATTTTCAGAATATAATCATTGGTTTATTGGGCAATGCAATTTCACAATTTAAAGTATATAGATGTCCACGCATGAGAAGAGTATTAGGTAAAATATATTTAATTAAAAGAATAATATAAATATTTATTTGATAATATACATAATAATTGTTTTAGTTGTACAAATGGCTGAAGAATATTATAATTGTAAGGATTATGGAAAAGTTCTAACGTAAGTCAAAAGAATATTAATATATATGTACACAAATTTATTGTAAAACAAAAATAATACAAAAAAATTTTGTACTATTCATTAGTCCAAAGTTTGACTCTAACATTATTTTTATCTAGACATATTTCATTACTTAACATCAAAATCATAAAATTTGATTGGCCAGATTATTGATGCACATGTTGTGGGAATATCACGGTGAACGGTGGCCTGTCTTAATCACAAATATCTTAAAAAATGCTTTGCGTGCGGCATATCTTTCCACGAATATTCAAGATTACATCACCTTGGCATTTGAAGCTTTGGGACCTTCTACTACATTTTCGGAGGATTATAAAATTGTTATCTATAATAATATCATTAATATTCTTCATGTGAGTTTTTATACAATTTTATACAATATCATCTTAATTTTATATAATTAAATATTTATAATTAATTAATTATACAAAATATGAAATTATAGAAAAAACCACCAACTCCGGATTATGATTTACCCGATGATGTGAAATATCCCGCAATAGAAAAATGGGTAATCGAACTTAATCAGTCAGAACCAATTGTTTTTACAATTGATGATAATAATATGAGTTCGTTTATAGAAGTTAAAGCAAGGTTTTTACAACCAAAATATGCAGTCAATTCTACGGTTAGTGTGGAAGTCATTATTAGGTAATTTTATAAGCTTACATTATTTTTATATATATATATATATAAAAAAAGACAACTTCTAATAAAATTTATATTTTGTTTAGAAATTCATATATTAATACTATTGAATTTTCTAAAATATCAATAACAATTAATAATCCAGGATATAATGAAGAATTTATTATTAATGATACCAAACATAGCAATCTTATTTTTCATGGAAAAGAAATGAAAAAATTTCTTCATCAATTTCAAGCTCCACAAAAAAATGATAGTAATGAAATGCGCATTACTACAATTTCATTGTATATGGGTAATGATGAAAGTTGCTGTATTATTTTGAGATTTTCTGCTCTAGGGAGAGAAACAAATTTTTTAAGCCGATTATATCCTGAAATACAACAACTTCGGTATGTTTAAAGTAAAATATTTTTATTGCATATTTTTATGCAAAAAACTTATTCATTTTATATTTATAATAGTAGAGGAGAATTCGAAACAATACAACCATTAATCAGTGCCGAAATAAAACAGGAAGAATCTAGTCTGAGTATAAGTGCAGAATCAAATAATCCGGCGCTTTTAGGAGAATGGCTCCCTATTAATATATCTGTTACTACTAATGAAGAAATATCATCAGCATTTTTAAATGTATTACTTGTATCTGATGGAACAAATGAACAATCAAGTATGTATGTAATTATTAAAAAAATATTTACCATGTTTGTTGATTATAATTTCATTAAATTATAGCGGAATTGAGCTTAACAATGAATAATAAACAATCGGTAATATCGGTATCTATTAATAATTTGGGAAAGAATTGCGTAACTCGTCAAACTGTATATTTAAGGGCTCACAAAGTTGGTGATCGAGATATACATATAAAGGTATATATTATTTTAATAAATCTCTTTAATTTTTATGTAATAAAGTAATGCATACATATATAATTTTATTGTAACAGGTAGAATATTCAAGATCTAAACAAATTAAAGGATTTAAAGAATTAATATATTCATTGTCAGTTACAAAACCATTTGAAATATCAACATTATTTTATACATCACTTTTTGAACCATTAACAAAAGGTTTTATTTATGAACCATTTATAATTATGCCCCATATTTCTTGTATCTCTCCATGGCCTATATATATTATAAATACTTCTATAGAATTGGTAAATAATATTTTTATTGATTTTTATTATTTTTTATTTTATATTATTTTTTATTCATGATGTAATTATATAATTATATAATTATTTATTATTTATAGGGAGATTCAATAGAAAGAGAAAGTGAAGATCAACCAATATCTGTTTTGGCTGGTATTACATTATCTGAAAATGAAACGGGTACAGATGCATATTATTTGATACCAAAAGTGAGTGGTGAACAACCTATTAGTACAGGTGTTTATACCATTAGATGGAAACGGTAAACAAAATTATATTATTTTTATTATTAAAATTATTAAAATGATTAAATATTAATATTCTAATATTTAATATTAATATTCTTTATTTTAGTGCAAATGATGATAATGCATTAGAAACTAGCAGTAGTGTTACTTTAGCTCCGTTAGGAATTGAAGATGCAGTAATTGGTTTAGAAGCTAAATTACCTGCTCATGGTTGGGTTCGTACACCGTTACTAATATCGTATTTCATAAAAAATCACTCCGACCATATGATTACGTTACGATTGACTATGGAAGCCAGTGATGCCTTTATGTTTGCTGGACAAAAACAAGTAAATATTTATCTTAAATTGTAAAAGTTTATAATATAATAACAAACTTCACTAATTTAATTTATATTTTTTAATTTTTCAATTTTAGATTGATATTTATATACTTCCAAAAAATGAAAGAAAAGTTGAATGGATTTTACGACCATTAGTGGCAGGTTTTGTACAACTCCCAACATTATCATTAACAATTCCTGATGGTAATAATTTTATTAATTAATGTATTTTTAATAATTACATGTTAATCAAGTTTAATTACATTCATATAGATGAATACAAATTAAGTAAAACGCGACTTTTGGAAGTGGTAGAGAGATCAATACCAAGTCATATATACATTCTTGTAAGTATTATAATTTTATTGAAATTTACATATACAAAGTTAAAATTTGCATATTTTTTTTTTATAGCCAACTTCACAAACTATAGAAGAATAAACAAAATATTAAATGTAGTAAGGAGATAGATAATAGAGAAAAAAGAAATTTTGTTTTTTTATCATAATACATTATTAAGTTACAGATACATTCTCTATACATTCTTAAATATAAAAAAATTTTCGTATTTAAAATTATAAATACTAATTTGTTAAATATAATTTATTTAAGTTACTTTAAAGTGTAATAAACAAAAGTTCCTTATCCTTAAATATACATTTAATTTAATCAACATAGATATTTATTGATGCGGGCGGCGGATATCGATTATATTACCATACCTATATTTCTATAGAAACCACATTTATACAACCAAATGTGGACAGTGTGAAGTACATTTTTGATAATTCATAATAAATGAAAACATTTTAAAATTAAAAATTATAATAAATTTGAAGAAAATAATGAATTGTGAATATAAAGATTATAAATAATAACATATTGATAATGTCCGATAATAATCATGTTTCTTTGGAAAAATCACAAAATAAAAAGCATTTGCAAGAATTCTTAACACCTATTTTTCGTATAAATTCAGAGGAATCTTTGATTCGTAATAGAAAATTTTTAAAGGTACGCTATTATTGCTGAATTCATATATAATTTATATATAATTTATATATTAATTCATATATAATCTTAAACATTAAGTTTTTTTATAAATATTTTGCAAATTAAATGTTAAATAGATATTTTTATATTTTATTACATAATTAATATTTAGTATAATGAGAAATTATGTATGCAAAATTAAAAAAAATTTTAAATTAGGATCTAGAACTGGCAAAAGCACGTTTACGAACTTACGCTGCATATACACCAACTGATCGAGAATTACAACAACGTGCAATGGAATATCGCAAACATCTTCAGAAATATATATGAAATTTTGCTTCATAACAAGTTGATTTCATGTTGCAAATGAAGTACATCCATTCAGTTTGATAACTCGAGCCGAACGAACAAACTTTCAAGTGAAAAGTTTGTTGATCGTTAGGATCGATGCACCAAACTGATAATTCAACCGATTATATTAGACTAATAAAATAAAAAATATAAACTAAATTTTATTATAAAAATTTATAATACTATTATAAGAATTTAAAATAATATATTAGAATAAAATATTTTAACTTTATAATTATTTAATTTTACTTAAAAAAAGAAAATATATACTTACATTGCAAGATGATCTATTACTATGAATTCTACAATATAGACAAATAGTTCTTATATAAAAAAATGTAAAAAGAGAACGTGCGGACAAGTACGAATACTATTCACCTGCAAAAATGAAATATTCACGTTCATTTTTTACGTGTGACGGTATTATCATCGCTCGTAATTACTGACACGTAGAACGTATATGTACGATAGGATAAGTTCGTTTCAGAAGTTACCTGATAACGACCTAAACCAATAATTCGACAAAAAGCTATATAATACTTCCACATTATATTTCATTTGTAAGTATTTTTACAAAAATATTAAAATATGTCATTATCATATATAAATTTTTTTCATAACTTAAAATAAAACATTTACAATGATTTCTTTGAAATACATCTTATTTAAAATCATAATTAATAAGATGTATTTCATGAAGATATATATATATCATAATATTAATAAGATGATTTTAAAGCATTAATATTTTAAATCTTACTTACCTGTTTATTGATAACACAAACATTTTTTATTATTCTATTTTTTAATCGTTCTATATCGAACAAAAATTTAACTAGAACTGATATAAAGCAGCTGTATCCAATAAAGTCTTAATATATAATTATATATTTCTACATGACTATATTATTTAACCATTTGAGTAAACAAATTGACATTGAAATTTTTTGATTTAAATATTGTAGATAGTCTAAACATCTGTATCAATAGCATTTTTATCTCTTATATAGCATCTTTCTTTTGTAATTTTATCTTCATGATAATGCAATTTTTAATAATTCGAAAAATATAATTAGGTTTGATTTAAAGAAAAATGAAATAGAAAGTTTTATGAGACATTTTTAATTGCAACTATTTATTACAATAAATAAACATACAAACATAAACAATTAGATTTTCTTTAAATAAATTATATTTGAATTTAATACCAATCGTTTTTTTAGTAAAACTATAAAAAGAAGTTAATACAAGTAGTACGAAATGATAGCATGTATCGCTTTGAAGTCATTTATCGCCGAGTTATGCATAAAATACACATTGATATAACTGTGTTGCATTAGTAAAACATTAATGCATTATCGTTGTTGGTTACCAAATGTAATATCCATTAAAATAATATGTACCATTAAATTTTATAAAAACATCGTTCATTGGCCTTGTAAGTAATATCATTTATTACTTTTAAGATATTTTTAAGTTATGACTCATTTTTAAACAAACTGAAAAAGGAAAAATCGTAATTTTATCTATAGTTAGTAGAATACTGTAGTGACACTATATCTTTGGAATGGTTTTTTTCAAAATTGTGATATGTAATCATTTCTTAATATTATTTTGTAAAAATATGAAAAAATTATAATATAAATATAAATGAAAAAATTTGATTAAATTAAAAAAATATATTATTTTTCAATTATTTTAAAAAAATAATGATTTTTAATAAATTATAGTTCATAATATAATTAATAAATTAAATTCAATAATTTGAAGCACAAGTATTGTGGAAGTACATAAGATAATGTAATATTGTAATACATTTTCATTGTTTGTACATAACACATACAGAATGTATAGATGTACTAAAATAATTATATGTTTAAATTAATATTTTTATATACATTTAATGTGGCTTGCAAAAAACTAATTTTTCTAATTTAACACTTGCTATCTTACCCCTATCAGTTTACATCTAAACTTTGCTTATCATTAAGTACTTATAAAACTGTTAATTATAGGTGCAATTTTTTCAGGATAATTTAAATGTACATGATGAGTTCCCTCTACTTTATGATATTCAAATCTTTTAGCACCTATTTTTATTTGATCTAAAACTTTATCATAAGATTCAGGATAATCAAGTTTCAATCCAGGTATAGCACGAATATTAAGGTAAGCACACTTTATCCGAGTTGCATATACAAGTACCATATCTAAAGATATTGTACCCAATGCAGAAACCTAATTAAATTATATATGAAATATCTTATATTATTATAAAATATCAATATTAATTAATATTAATCTATAGTTGTTATTTTTAGATCACAATTTATGGAATTGTAGGTTATCAGTTGGGTTATATTCTAATTGCAGATTATTAGTGACCTAACGATACAAACTATAGATTAATATTATATAATATAATAAATTCATATGTATATAATTTATATATATATATATATATAATATTATATATATATATA